ATATATATATATATATATATATATATATATATATATATATATATATAATTTTTAATTTTTTTTTACTAAAAACATTTTTAAAAAATGAAAAAGAGAATGTAACTCAGTAGTAAAGCTGGGTTCCATCCCCAGCTCTTTACAGAGGATAAAAGAAAAGGGGTGTGTGGGGGGGGAGATTCTGGGGAAATGGCAGGGTCATAGGAAATACCAGGAAAATATCACCACACAGACAAAAATAGTCGTCATCATCTATGTGTTGAAACTGTTTTGGAACTCTAGTCTTTTGAATGCTTGAAACCAAGAGAAGGCTTGAATGGCAAATTACAGGGTCAACTTAAGTTGAATTCAACTCTTAGCTCAGTGGCAACTTACAATTTTTCACACACACACACCCCCCCCAGCCCTATGGCAGAAAGTGCAAAAGCTACAGGAGCAGTTTGTAAATGACTTATGAAAATCAGGTCAAATAAGAACCCTGCCCACCAAGTACCAGGCATCTGTGTCTAATTATTACTGTTGCTTCTAATCACCGAGGTGCAAGGGCACTGGGGCAGCCATTGTTGCTGTTAGCACTCAGCTTTTTATTCAGGAATGGAGTTTCATGCAGAAACAGAATGACACCTCTGATGGATCCACTTTCCTGGTGGAAAAAAAAAGCCACTGGCCAAAGGAAGAGTCTGGGCTTATGCTGGTTATACTGAGAGATGACTTGCGTGTGTGGGAATCCGCCCATGAAAAAAGCGAGGACTTTTTCAGCATTGAAGCCCATGAGGGGGTAGAATCCGTTATTTGGGAACTTATAGTGGCACTCCCGCTATTAAAACTGCCTGATACAAGTGAACTTCCTCTCAGCTCTGCCCAAAAAGATCTTCTGAAGCACTCGAGATGGGCGTGACCCATTAGAAACGGATGGCCTACCTGCCCCCACCTGTATCCTGTTTAGGTGAAGAACTTTCTATCCAGTCCATTTAATCTATTCTGATATAAATAAAGCAAGCTTGTGGTCTCCCTTCTTTGTCAGAACTGTACTCATCTGGTCAGGTTGGCCGGTCGCTGCCCCCATTCTGAAACTATATTTCTGTGTCTGTCCTATTTCTGTAGTACCTTTTTCCAAAAGTAGCTTTTATTTCTCAGCTAGCGCATCCTTCCAGAGGAGAACCCTCTCCCTTGCCCATGCAGGATGTGAGCGAGAAGTTTGTCAGTTTGGGCACTCAGTAATTTGGGTTCTGTTTTA